ATTGCATTTTCTAAAGAAAATGCCACTGATAGTATGTTTTTGAGTTCTTTCTAACCTCAATTCCTACTTGAAATTTTGAAGTGAAGGTTATTTATCAGGAAAATAAATTTGAGAAAGCCAAGAATTTTCACTCACTCTATAATCCTGTACAGAAGTCCCCCCACTCTATCCACAAAAGATACATTTGAAGACTCCTGTGGATATCTAAAACCACAGAGTACCAAATCCTGTATATACTATTTTTTTCCTATACATAGACACCTACGATAAAGTTTAATTTATATCTTAGGCGCAGTAAGAGATTAACAACAACAATAAAATAGAATAATGCATAATATATTATAAAAAGTTATGTTGATATGATGTCTCTTTCTCTCTCAAAATATCTTATTGTACTATACTCACCTTTCTTGTGATGATGTGAGATGACACTATGCCTATGTGATGAGATGAAGTGAGGTGAATGACATAGGCATTGTGACGTAGTGTTAGTCTAGTATAAGGGATACTTAAACACAAGCACCGTAATACTGCAACAGTCAATCTGATCATCACGTTGGCTACTACTAGTAAGTAACTAATGGTGGGTAGCATATACAGTGTGGATACAATGGACAAAGGGATGATTCATGTCTCCCATCAGACAGAGTGCTCTGCTATGAGATTTCATTATGCTACTCAAAATTGCATGCAATTTAAAATTTATGAATTATTTCTGGCATTTTCCATTTCATATTTTGGACCATGGTTGACCAAGGGTAACTGAACCCCCTAAAACTGTATGTGGATAAGGGGGGCTATGATATTACTAAATACAGTTTATCCTAGAACAATGTGAAGGTTAGGGCCACCAACCCCCATGAAAATCCACATATAACTTTTGACTTCCTAAAAACTTACTAATAGCTTACTGTTGACCAGAAATTTTACCAATAATATAAACAGTTGATTAACACATATTTTGTATGCTACATGTACTATACACTGTATTTTTATAATAAATTAAGGAAGAGAAAAGAAAATGTTATTGAGAAAATCATAAATACATTTACAGTACTGTATGTATTTCTTGAAAAAAATCTGCCTATAAATGGACCTGCACAGTTAAAATGCATATAGTTCAAGGGTCAATTTACAATTATTCTTCAGTGGCTAACAAAATATCATTTTTAATGTGCTATGCATGTGAAATGCACTATTCTCTTCCAAGGTCATTGGTAGTATCATGATGTAGATGTATTGGCAGAGGCTCTTCTAAGGTTAGTTACTAACAAGTCCAAAAATACAACATAAACAATAGAACAAACAAGTTTGATTTATTCTAGGCTATAGAAGATCAACCAACATTTTTTTTTCTAGATTCAGTGACTTGATATTCCAATGTGTTATCTCTCTATTTCTAAGTTAATATCATTGAACTTTAATAATTTCTGTTTTGCTAAGCCTACTTCCTGAGATAACACATAGAAGAGGAATGTTTTTAAACTGGACAGTGCTATCAATGGCAGGTACCATACCCTTATCGCTGTTATGATGCAGTGGGTAGTTTGCAGAACAGGGAAGAGTTGAGAGTTGAGAATAGAGGCAACAAAAGGCTTGAGATCTGAGTCCTGGATTCTTTAAATATTTAGAACGTGGGAAGATGAGGAGAACCCATTAAAGAGAAGAAGAGGAAGAATGTCTCATGAGATGAGAAGAACCTAATGGTAAACAGTCCTTAGAAAGATAGCCTTTGGGTGACTGAGTAAGAGGTAATGCAGCAGGGCCTAGGGATCAGAATGCTGAATTGGTACTATGAATACACCAGTCTCTATAGACTCATATCTAACTAATCTGCAGAGGCATGTTGAGGACACCTCTGGGAAATAAGTCATATGAACACACACTTAACAGACTTAGTTGTCGTTTACAGATTTCTCAGTTAAAGTAAAATTATTTTTAAAAGTTCTAAACATCCTCGCCGTTGGGATAAGGGGGAGAGACCAACCAAAGGACTTGTATGCATGCATATAACCCTAACCAATGGACACAGACACCGGGGGGGGGGGCTGGTAAGAGCATGAGTGGGGGTGTGGGGGGACAATCGGGCGATAAGGACACATATGTAATACCTTATTCAATAAAGGAAAAAATTTAAAAAGTGCTAAACATGCTACATCATATTGTATGTGCAATGATGAATATGACAATAGGCAAAGGTGAAGACAATTCAAAGATTTAAAATCACCCTACTATTTTCGAAAGCCTGGTATCAGAATCAGCTTGTTATGGCTAAAAGAATGTTTTTCCACTGGGATTTAGAACCTGCGTCAATTAAGTACTTTGAAAAGATGCAGGTATCAGAGGTGAACTGAAACGAAGGCTTAAAACCATTTCAATCCTGTGAATCAGGCCACCAGTGAAATATACATACCTATGTAAAAGACCCAAATTCAATAAACAAAAATATAAAATAAGTTTCTGTAACATTGGAATTTTAAAATCATTCCACTGAATTAAGAAAATATTTTCAATTTCCTAAGCGAGAACACTACATAAATGGCTGTGTTTTATAAGAAACATGACAGTTTACATTTAATAATAGTCTACAGGAGGGATACAAATGAAATAGAAAATTGATTCAAGTGACAGTAAAATATTTAACAACCTGGACATTTGCACAAATTGAGCAAAATCATTACATTCACATGACACAATTATTCCTTATAATTATATAATGAAATAATTTCATTGTTGAGGTGGCAAATGGACTGTGTTCAACTTATGTTGTATTTTACAAAGAATAAATATCAATGTAAGGTAGAACTAATGGTGTATTTCAAGTTCTAAACACAAAGGACGCCCTGGTAAGCCTTCTAGAGAACAATATTTTAAAGTCAGTAAGACCATGTAAAACTATGTGTTAACTTGCTTTACCAACATATCAAACTAGCCAAACACAGGAAAAATATTATAGTGCTTTATGAAAACAGAAATATGACCTACCTTTGCTACTCTCCCTGTCCCTCTCTATTTCAGCATGCTATCCACAGTGGCTTCCTAACCACTTATTAAAAATTGAAAGGCAACAGCTATAAACTCTTAGAAATATAACCAGCAAGCCATTGACAGCAGATGTGGATTTTTTTGCTGAAAACAATGTATACCTTAAATCTTCCCAGATCTGATGGATAGTTGCTTGTATCATACCTGTCCATTTCAGTAGTAATTGAAAACAGGGTTTTGAAGTAAAAATTCATTCTTGCCACCTTGACAAGTATGGATCTGTGAGAAAACTATTAGTAGGTGAATATCCTCCATTGTCTGTACTTCTCTTGTGAAACAAACAAAAACGATTATCCATTTTTACATAAGAAGTTCTTGAGCTTATAGATAAGCTCAGGAGTGAAAAATTCCTATAAAATTGCTAATTCTGTATATACACACACACTCACAATCTATATTAGAATGAAATTTCAACCTAAGCTATTTATTCTAATACTTTTTATGCCTTAATATTCAAATGGCAATGAAATTATGGTACATATCAGTACTAAGGATAGGATAAAAATGAAAAATTACTCAGTAGTACCCTAATAGATAAGTATCATAATTCTAAAATACAGTGGAGGACATTTTAACTCAGTAAAAATGTTTTTAATAAAACCATTTTGTTTTCATTTTTTCTTCTTGTGATAAACTGTATTAAAACCAATAACAAAAACACATATACTTATCTGTTCCTACAAAAGTAGAAGATATTTAATTTTCACTAGGAAATTGTATTAATTAAATTAATACATTAAATTCTGTGGCCTTTGTTCAGTTGCTGCTCCAAGTGTACTAAATCCATTTACCTTCTATGTTAAATTTCTTACTGTGTTTAACAGAAAAATATATTTCTTTGTATTGATTTTTATCTTTGATTTTACACCTCTTTTGGCTTCTACTCCTTTATCTAATGTTTGGCTTATAAATAAGGTGCTAGAAGGAATGGGGCATTGATGCTTGAAACATTAGTAGTGTTCTACATTAACTATAAAAGAATAAAAAGCAAATAAAATCTTCTCCCACCATGACATGTCCAACAGACCCAAAATAGCCTGTTGTGGTTTAGAGGGGGACTGTCAGGCCAGTCTCCACAGAAGGCACAGGTCCAGAGATTACTTTATAAAGCAATTATCTTTGGTATGACCGGAGATAAATGAGTACTTGAAAGTTAGCTGCTCTGGGTACATTCACTTGCACACATTTCTCAGTTGATGACCTTGGTTGTCTCACCCATGTCAACAAATGTATACACATAACAATGGAGAATGTCTATTCCTCATTTTGTATGTTAACACAAGGAAACTAAATTCATTTGGTGATTTTTGTTTAATTTGACAGTTCCATCTTTTGTGATATTGATCGGTCCAGCTATACCAGAAGTGTTTTCCAAACCCATACAATCAAAACGAAGTGAGTGATTGGTAAGCATTTTTGGAAAACCAAATTCATAAGAGTTAAATCCAAGTAGTTGTTTGTTTGTTTTTTTTGTGTGTGTTTTTTTTACCATAACAAACATATAGTTAACCAATTTCTTTGCAATTTGACTATAATGAAAATCTATTAAATAAAATAGTTTGATATTATGGCATGATAATATTAAAATGCAGTATTTATTTATTTACAGGCCTTAGCCATCCTCGTTTAACATTATTCACCAATATACATTTATTATCCGCCATACTAGTTACTAGTTTGATCATGCCCTAAGGATGATCTCACTTTATAACCTTTAATTCTCAGCACTGATGATCATTCACTCGTTTCTCCTACAAAAATGTTACCACCATTTAAAAGCCATAAGTTAAAAATAAACAAAATCCCAAGCATGTATGTCCTAAATAACTAAAAGTAGGTTCATTTTCAACTCCTCTTGCATGCTTCTAAATTTACTGTCATTATTACTTTACATTCATAACAATAATTATCCTTAACTATATTTCAAAATTGATTCTTTAATAATAGTACTGGAATCATAACTTACAGTCTGTGATTTTTAGTGTCCTCTTGACTTCTCCACTTCCTGATCCCCCACAACCATCTTCATCGTCACAGTCCCCGCTGACCTGTTCAACCATGCCGCCACCACTGCCCAGGTGAACTTCCCACTTGTCGGGTTTGGGTGACCTACCCTGTAACAACTAAATATGGATTAAAAAATATATTAAGAGAAAATTCAAATCATTTAAAAATGCTATTCAGGAACATATATAGAAATTAGGATATGTTCTTATGTGGGTGTTCCATTTTGATGTAGACACTGTACTAAATCAAGTGCATAAGAAAAGTAAAAACGACTGAAATAATGATAAATAATGTGCAAGGTTTTACAGCCAAAAGGGCTGCTATCTGAATATTAGCTCTGTGCTAAAGCTTTGGAAAGCAAATAAAACCAGGTCTTCTTGCTCATGAAAAGTTTGGCAAGAGGATCCTTTGCTTCGGAATAAACAATGTTTAAGCGCAATAAATCAAACTCCAATGCAACACAACTTCCTTTGCAGTATATTACAGTATATTCTGCTGTTTCTTAAACCAACAATCCAAAATTTCTCAAAAATTATTTTACTAAACTGGTACTATTCTTCCAGAAAAAGGTTAAAAGAATTTTAGACATATACGTTTTTAGCTTTAGTTCTTGGATCAAATACATAGTCCAATGCATATAGCACAGAACTAAACCTTGGAACAAAAGACTTAAGTCCTACTTCCATTTCTATAAGTAAGTTAAGAAATTTAACCAACTTCTTGGTTCTCAAGCATTTCATTTATTTTTATGAGCAAAATAGATGGAATAGCTATTTTCCCTAGAGCAAAAGAGTGCTGGTAATATTTTTGAATAATATTATAAATGCCTGAACTCCTTTAAAAAAAGGTGATGTTATAAATAATAAACTATTTCACTTAACACAAAAGCTGAGTAAAATGATCCAATATATGATATTTACCCCTCTAAGGCAGTTCTGGAGAACACATGACCAGACATGAGCACTAGAGGGTACTGCTATATTATGAATGAAATATACCTCTGCTGAACACTTAATGGTCATTTACATTTTCAAGGTGCTTTATGAAAGCATTATGGTTGTTACTTCTAAGAGATTTTCTATATAATAATATTGATTATCAGACAGTAATTAAATGCACAACCCAAGGAAAGAAATTCATATTGAAAAAATAGAGTGAAATATTCTCCGTATACCTAAGAAAAATATATTTAGCATTTAAAGAACATTTACACTAAGCAACTACACTTTGACAATTCATAAGCGTTCCAAAAAAAGGTCATGAATTCTGAAATATTACAGTTCCTTAAAATGTATTTTTTTCTAATGAAAATGAAATGCTAAAACAACAGCAATACTTTTAAAATTCTTATCAGAATTTATTTATATGCATCAGCATTTTACCAAATTTATTAATAGGTATTTAATTTAAAAAGAGGGCTTCCTTTATGGTCAAGTGGATTTAGGCAACAATAAGTTACTATGTTTAATGCACTTATGTGTGTGCTTCTTCTTGCAGGAGAGATACAGATATATGACAAAGCACATGCAAATTCAAAATCCAAAACAAGAAAGGAAGGATAATGGCCTTGTTTTATACCATTTGCCATTTGTTATTTATCATAATCATAAAGGCCTTGGTCTCTGAGGTCTAACATACTTAGATTTGAATCCTGATTCTGACATATATTAACCATGAGACAATGGACATTATATAAATTACTGAATAACTAGCTTGTTCCCTCATATCTAAAATATGGACAATGATATACCTGAGCCATTTTTCTTATTGTGAGAAAAAAATACACATAAAGTACTTTGCACAGTGTTGGGGAATTAAAAATTAATATATTATTATTATCTACTTTAGTATGTATTCTATTACAATATTACAATATTACTTAAACACCCCCAGCACATTTATTGAAAGAATTCAATTAGGCGAGTTAAATCAAACTGTTTCTAAGTATTACCTGATAAGTATAACAAAAATCAAACTTTCTGGTGATGTGTTATCCCCTTTTGCTTCTGACATTCTTTCTCAACACTTTTCTATTTTAATTTTATTTTCTCTTTACTTCCCTAGTTATTATTACAATATTTTATTGGTTTCTGGGCAAAACAAAGATGGCATCTTAGGAACAACACCTACAATATACAAGTCATAAAGACCCAACCCAGCAAATTTGAACTAAAAAATACCACATGATCTCACTCATTTGTGGAATATAACGAACATTATAAACTGATGAACAAAAATAGATACAGAGGCAGAGCTGCATCGAACAGATTGTCAAACTACAGTAGGAAAGCAGTGGAGGGTTGCGGGGGTGGTTTAAGAGATCAACCGAAGGACTTATATGCATGCATATAAGCATAACCAATGGACACAAGACACTCAGGGGTGGTGGTGAGGGCATGTGCCAGGGGATGGGGGAGGCCGGAGGGAAAGATATTACATGTAAATCAAAACTTACTATTTTAAGAAATTGGTTTTGGTTGAAAGCAATTAAATATGTTAATTGTTAGAGAATTATTCATTTATTTATAGTGACTTATAAAGATAATTTATAACATTGTTTTAAAGAAAACTTTTTTTGTTTTTTACATTTTTTTCTAAATCACTGAAGTAATCTAAGAAACATCTATAAGACACAAGAATTCACATATTTAAAAGAGAGAACTATACAAAACTATATTTTAATTTAAATATCTGTGGTGGATAGAATTGTAAAATAGGCCCCAAAATGATCCACTCTCATTCCTGGACTATGAATATAATGTCATTGTCATATCCACTACATTACATGGCAAAAGGAAATTTGCTAATGTAATTAAGGTTATAATTCAGCTGACTATAAGTTCATCAAAAGGGAGACCCTATAGGTGGACCTACTGTAATCACATGAGTTCTTTGAAAGCTGAAAATTTTGCCTGGCTATCAGCATAAATCAGAGAACTTTGAAGCTTTGGGAGGGAGGAAGGATGATTGGACTATAGAGATCAGGCTGTTGGCCTTGAAGGTGTTAACTTGGATGTTGTGAGAGGACCTATGAGAGATTCTGCCAAATTCCTGCTGCCAGGAACTGAACTTCCAGCAACCTCTAGTTGCTGAGAGTGATCCACTTTACAGCCTGCAAGGAAGTCAGCCTTCAGTCCTACAACTGAATTGTACCAACAACTTAGATGAGTCTATAGGAGGATTCTCCCCCTTACTCTCCAATTGATTCAAGCTTGGCTGACAGCTTGACTTGAGGCTTGTGAGACCCTAAGCAGAAAGCCCTGAGCAATGAGCCCATCTGGACTTCTAAACTATGGACCTATGCATTAATAAATAAAAGTTTTCTTAAATTGCTAAACGTGTGGTAATTTGTTGTGCAGCAACAAAAATGAATACACTCTCTAACCGCCACTTACTTCTTGGGCAATGTTTTCTTCTGGTCTCTTTTGATTCTCTAACATATTGCTCAGGATAAAATGTCGACATATTCATAAGACAACACCTACTGAAAAAAAGATTATGCTATTGGATTTGACCTAGTTTCTATCTTTCAGGTTCTCTACCTTTTTCAATGCCTCCACTGTTTTCCAATTCTATGAGCAAGAGATACAATTGCTGTTCCCTATGATCAACTTATCCAGCTATATCCAGGATCAATCTGACCCATGCTGTCAGGCCCCCAATAATCCCATCTCCCTCTAGTACAGTGATGGCGAACCTTTTGAGCTCGGCCTGTCAGCATTTTGAAAAACCCTAACTTAACTCTGGTGTCACATATAGAAATTTTTTTGATATTTGCAACCATAGTAAAACAAAGACTATTTTTGATATTTATTTTATATATTTAAATGCCATTTAACAAAGAAAAATCAACCAAAAAAATGAGTTCCGTGTCACCTCTGACACACGTGTCATAGGTTCGCCATCACTGTCTAGTTGGATCAATACTTCTGTCTCCTCTGTATGAAGGTCCTGCCTTACAATACTCATTTTCTTGCTTCTCAGTTATCATGCATCCACAAATGTTCGTTTTCATTCTCACAATTACAATAAAACTTAACTTGTAAAAAATCCCAATAAATTTCCCATCAACTAAAATAATAGGATTTTCACAGTAAGATCCATATTCAAAATCTCACATCTTTTAAAAATATATTTTTATTGATTTCAGAGAGGAAGGGAGAGGAAGAGAGAGATAGAAACATTAATGATGAGAGAAAATCATTGATTGGCTTCCTCCTGCACATCCCCACACTGGGGATCCAGCCAGCAACCTGGGCATGTGCCCTGACTGGAAATTGAACCATGACCCCTTGGTTCTTAGGTCAATGCTCAACCGCTGAACCACACCAGTTGGGCAAATCTCACATCTTTTGAACTAAGCTATTTTGATTTCTTCTGAGTTTGCTCATCTTTCTCCTCACATCAAAAATAAAGACGTTTCAATTAACAATATAAATCCTTTATTCTTTTTAAAAATAAAATAAAAATAAAAGGCGTAAATTTTACCTGGCTATCAGCATAAATCACAGAGATTGTAGCTTGGTGACAGGGGAAGGAGGACGGACTTTTTAGTCTCTTTCTGGGAACCCATCCTGACAGATTGTGTTCTCATCTGTATGCATATTACACTCACGTCTTTGTTTATAGCCCTTATTAACCTGTAGTTCATTTCTAAGTAAGGATTGGATATAAAACATACTCTACCACTTTGTATATTAAAGTAGAACCATTTGTCTCCACTAGTAATGCATCACCACAACTTATCTTCCCAACTCCTTTTTCTGCAGTGGACATCAGTCTCTCTCATCTACTAACACCAGCTAATTTCTCCCTAATCAGTACTTTCGCCATGCCATTTCTCTGCCTTAGCACTCTTTGTGACTCTTTACTATCAAAAACCACTGGTTCCCAACATGCCTGGAGGATAGATATCAGTCCAGATAGATAAGTCACAGAAAGAAGTCTGGTGGTAAAATGTTTGAGGAATTCATACTATGGCCCCTTCTTGATATCCCTGAAGAATTTGAAAGGAAGCAATTTTGTTTAGTTTAGGTTCACCTCTCATTTTCCAAATTTACATAAGCAAATTAACCCCTCCTCCATTGACATACTTTTGGAAATGTAGCCTAAAAAA